ATTTATTTCACAAAAAGGATGGGATCTGGAAATCCCAAATAGTACTATATTATCTGTGGTTCAAAACCTTCTGAGCTTTGTCCTCAGGTTAATTCCTTTTGCCTTCAACTAACTGTCTTACTATGCAATTATAACAGAGTTGATCAGTGGAGTGTTGGCAGACCTTAACCAAAGATCAAAAAACATTTGATCTTATAATATGAATTATAGTTTTCATATTACATTCAGGTAGTAAATCTCCCAAGAAAAATATTCTCAGCTCTTACGTGATTGTAGTTTGAAATAGGATGCTGGAAAAATGAAACAAATGTGTATACGGATTTAGGAAAATTGTTCCATTATAAAAAGCTTTAATAAACTAATAAATATAAACTCAACATATTAACATAATATGTACAGTAAACTTTTCCCCACTTGATCCTTGCCTACCACCTAACATTAACATGGGCACCTGTCCTGTCTTTGTCCTTATAACAAACTGGCTTCCAAACTGGCCTTACGTTGACATCAATGCTAACCACTAGCCGGCCTTTGTCTCAGTGGGCACGTCAGTTAACCCATACCCAGGGCCGGTGCAAGGATTTTTGCTGCCCTAGGCAAAAAAAAAAATTGCCGCCCCCCCCCATATGTCCTGCCCACCATGTGACATCACAATGCCCCGCCCATATGCTCTGCCATATGGGCCAACGCCAGTCTTCACAAAGTGTCTTTTATCTGAAAAGACAGTGTGTTTACATTAAAAAGCCTACAGGCACAGGCTATAGACACCAGAACCACTACATTATGCTGTAGTGCTTCTGGTGACTATAGTATCCATTTAATGTGAGGTAAATTAGAGATTAGTGCCACTAATATTATATTGGATTGCCTACTTACCACCAGATGAGGACAAGAGGCTGATGATGGGCTCTGTCTGGCTCCACAGGTCTGGTGTAGAAGAGGCTCTCAGGAGACTGTTTTTAACAGTGCTCACAACAATTAACGAACAGGAAGCAACTCCATTTTTTAGGGCCCCTTACACAGCTCAAGGTCTGGGCCCCCAGGGCTTGACCATGAGTATGCCTACAATGCCCACCCATAAATCCACCTACATGTATGTGTGTAGGGGATGTTTTATGTGTTATTGTAGAGGATGCAATGTGTGTGTTCTTATAGAATGTAGTGTATAGGGATACCAATTTCTGTAAGGGATGTAGTGTGTTTATAGGGGATGCAGTGTGTGTTTGCGTGTAAGGAATGCATTGTATGTTTCTCTGTGTTTGTGTGTGTGTGTAAGGGGTGCAAGGTGTGTTTCTGTGTATTTAATTAAATGCAGTGTGTGTCTGTAAGGGGTGCATTGATTGTGTAAGAGATGCATTTTGTTTCTGTGTGTAAGAGAATGAGTGTTTGTGTGAACGTAAGGGATGCATTGTGTGTTTTGGGTGTGTCTGAGTAGGAATGCATTGTATGTTTCTGTGTGTGCGTGTGGGGGGGGGATGCATTGTGTATGTGTGTAGTGTAAAAGAGAGGGTTTGTGGGGCAGGATAGAGACTGAGAGGGGAGCTGCTCTTTATTTTTTTTATTTTTTTCATAGTGCTCTCCCCCATGTCAATTATTGATTTCCCCTTCCCTCCTGTCCCTCCGTGTTCTCCCCTTCTGTCCCTTAGTGCTCTCCCTTGGCCCCCTGTAGTTTCCCCTTGGTGGTCTTCTCACTCCCCCTTCCCCCTTAGTGACCCTCCCTCTCCCAAACCCCTTAGTAGACATTCCCCTCCCCCCACCCCCTTAGTGGTAATCTCCCCCCCAGTGGTCATTATCCTCTTTCTCCAACCCCCCTTAGTGGTCCTTTCCCCCCTTAGTGGTCCTCCCTCTCCCAAACCCCTTAGTGGACCTCCCCCCTCCTCCCTCAGTGGTCCTTACTCCCCACCCCCCCACCCCCTGTGATCCTTCACCCCCCTTCCCCAGTGGTTCTTACTCCCCCCCTCTTCCCCCAGTGGTTCTTACTCCCCCTATTCCTCCCGCAGTGGTCCTTACTCCCCCCCTGCTCCCCTAGTGGTCCTTACTACCCCCATCCCTCTCCTCCCCCAGTGGTCCTTACTCGCCCCATCTCTCTCCTCCACCTGTGGTCCTTATCCTCCTCTCCTCCCCCTGTGTTCCTTACTCCCCCTCTGGTCCTTACTAACCCTCCCCTGGTGTTCCTTACTCCCCCTCACACCCTCCCCGGTCCTTACTCACCCTCCTGGTGGTCCTTACTCCCCCTCCCCTCCTGGTCCTTGCCTCACCCTCATGAGGTCCTTACTCCCCTACCCCCCCTCTGGTCCTTACTCCCTCTCCCCTCCTGGTCGCCTCACCCTCACCCCTCCCCTGGTGGTCCTTACCCTCCCTCCCCTCCCCTGTGTTTCCTTACTCCCCTGTGTTCATACTCCCCCCTCCCCCTCCTGGTGTTTTCCTTACTCCCCCTCCCCTGTGGTCCTTACTCACCCCTCTTTACTCCTGGTGGTCCTTACTCACCCTCCCTCCCTGGTGATCCCTACCCCCTCCCCTGTGTTCCTTACTCCCCTCCCCTGGTGGTCCTTACTCACCCCCCTCCCCCTGTGTTCCTTACTCTCCCCCCTCCTGCCTATGTAGCGTGGCACTTCCTGTCAGTCCGCCGGCGGCCGGGTACAGGAAACAGAGGTTCCTGTCCCGCGTTCTGCGCCGCCCGGCCACGCTACATTGAGAGACCGGCGGGAGGGTGCGCTCTGCGCTTCCCTCCTGCCGGTCACTCAAATCCGGCCGCAGGGATCCGGCGCCCCCTGCTAAGGTTCGCCCTAGGCGGCTGCCTAGGTCGCCTAACAGGTAGCACTGGCCCTGCCCATACCTTAAAGACGAGGTTTGGGTAAGAACCAGTCCCAAACATCTTTTCCACTGGACTGCTGATTGGCAAACATCTTTTCCACAACCCTGATTGGCAAGGACCTTCATCCACCCGCTGTGACAAGAAAAGAAAATTACTACACAAAGATAACACCACAATCACAAACAAAACAGGGGAAAGGGGCAGAAAGCTGTTTCCAAGCCAGTAATTAGGATCCATGACCGATTTTCAATACCCTGGTTGCGGGCCGAGGGACCCAAGATTTGATGGTACATCGTCCCTTTGATCCAGTGCAGTTGATGGTATTGTAGCCCATTCCAGCCTTGTGTAGGTCTACAATCTTGTCACTGACATCCTTGGACAGCTCTTTGGTCTTGGCCATGGTGGAGAGTTTGGAATCTGATTGATTGATTATGTGGGCAGGTGTCTTTTAAAAATGTAACGCGCTAAGATTAGGAGAGTGCTCCTAATCTCAGCTCGTTACCTGTATCAAAGACACCTGGGATCCAGAAATCTTAGGGGATCAAATACTTACTTCACTCATTGACATGCAAATCAATTTATAACTTTTTTGACATGAGTTTTTCTGGATTTGTTTTGTTATTCTGTCTCTCGCTGTTAAAATACACCTACCATTAAAATCATTACTTTGCCAGTAAGCAAATGTTCAGAATCAGCGAAGGATCAAATACTTTTTTCCCTCTGTATAAATCCTACAGTTGTATATGAATCACATAAGAAATAGAAGAAATGTGTTTTGCCTGTTCACTAATGTTTTCTTTAAAAATGGGGCATGTATCACTAATTATATAAGGGTATGTGTGGCGAAACCGGCCTCGCCACGTGTCCTTGGAGGGGGCTGCTTGCCCGCCTCTTGCCTTTGGACTATGGACCAGACTTTATGTGAATGTGTTAACCCAGATAGCTATGCCATGGAGCCCATTCATGTAGTTAAAGACTTCGGCTCCATGGCAATTGAACTGTGTGAATAGGATCTGAGCGCTCTTCGGTAGTTTTGTGCGCTCAGATTCCAGCAATCTGGGGATATGTGAAATGTCTGTGTGTTATGTGTAAAAGGTGACTTTATGTATTTTAAAGTGTTTTATGTCTTTTTGCAACTATGTGCTCAATGGAGTCTGCCTCTATCCCTGGATAATTGGATTACTTTCCCCCATTGTCTCCAGGATAGAGGGCTCTGTAAAACCTGTTTGAGCCAGATAGTCATGTGCCAGCCAGGGCCCAAAAGATACTTTTACTAACTTTTGAACCCCTGGTCGGATTCATTTTTTAATATGTTGTTCCCCTGAATGGATTGATTGTGAATATGTAATTTTATATGAATGTGATGTATGGTTTTAAAGTTATGAAAGTTGGGTAGAAAGTATGTTTTAACTGTACAGGGAGTGCAGAATTATTAGGCAAGTTGTATTTTTGAGGATTAATTTTATTATTGAACAACAACCATGTTCTCAATGAACCCAAAAAACTCATTAATATCAAAGCTGAATATTTTTGGAAGTAGTTTTTAGTTTGTTTTTTAGTTATAGCTATGTTAGGGGGATATCTGTGTGTGCAGGTGACTATTACTGTGCATAATTATTAGGCAACTTAACAAAAAACAAATATATACCCATTTCAATTATTTATTATTACCAGTGAAACTAATATAACATCTCAACATTCACAAATATACATTTCTGACATTCAAAAACAAAACAAAAACAAATCAGTGACCAATATAGCCACCTTTCTTTGCAAGGACACTCAAAAGCCTGCTATCCATGGATTCTGTCAGTGTTTTGATCTGTTCACCATCAACATTGTGTGCAGCAGCAACCACAGCCTCCCAGACACTGTTCAGAGAGGTGTACTGTTTCCCTCCTTGCAAATCTCACATTTGATGATGGACCACAGGTTCTCAATGGGGTTCAGATCAGGTGAACAAGGAGGCCATGTCATTAGATTTTCTTCTTTTATACCCTTTCTTGCCAGCCACGCTGTGGAGTACTTGGACGCGTGTGATGGAGCATTGTCCTGCATGAAAATCATGTTTTCTTGAAGGATGCAGACTTCTTCCTGTACCACTGCTTGAAGAAGGTGTCTTCCAGGAACTGGCAGTAGGACTGGGAGTTGAGCTTGACTCCATCCTCAACCCGAAAAGGCCCTACAAGCTCATCTTTGATGATACCAGCCCAAACCAGTACTCCACCTCCACCTTGCTGGCGCCTGAGTCGGACTGGAGCTCTCTGCCCTTTACCAATCCAGCCACGGGCCCATCCATCTGGCCCATCAAGACTCACTCTCATTTCATCAGTCCATAAAACCTTAGAAAAATCAGTCTTGAGATATTTTTTTGGCCCAGTCTTGACGTTTCAGCTTGTGTGTCTTGTTCAGTGGTGGTCGTCTTTCAGCCTTTCTTACCTTGGCCATGTCTCTGAGTATTGCACACCTTGTGCTTTTGGGCACTCCAGTGATGTTGCAGCTCTGAAATATGGCCAAACTGGTGGCAAGTGGCATCGTGGCGGCTGCACGCTTGACTTTTCTCAGTTCATGGGCAGTTATTTTGCGCCTTGGTTTTTCCACACGCTTCTTGCGACCCTGTTGACTATTTTGAATGAAACGCTTGATTGTTCGATGATCACGCTTCAGAAGCTTTGCAATTTTAAGAGTGCTGCATCCCTCTGCAAGATATCTCACTATTTTTGACTTTTCTGAGCCTGTCAAGTCCTTCTTTTGACCCATTTTGCCAAAGGAAAGGAAGTTGCCTAATAATTATGCACACCTGATATAGGGTGTTGATGTCATTAGACCACACCCCTTCTCATTACAGAGATGCACATCACCTAATATGCTTAATTGGTAGTAGGCTTTCGAGCCTATACAGCTTGGAGTAAGACAACATGCATAAAGAGGATGATGTGGTCAAAATACTCATTTGACTAATAATTCTGCACTCCCTGTAATTACCTTTGCAGTGTCACTTACACAATCTCACTAATACACACACTCTCTCACTGGCATACACACTTACACATTCTAACTCTAACTTACACACTAACACATACACATTCTCACTGACCTACACATTGTCACTTGCACACTCTCACTAACATACACAGTGTCACTTACACACTCTCACTAACACACACAGTGTCACCTACATACTCTCACTTATACACACACACTCTAACTTACACACTCTCACTGGCATAGACATTGTCAGTTACACACTCTAACACCACACAGTGTCACACATGCTCACTAACAGTGTCACTTGCACACTCTCACTAACTGTCACTTGCACTCTCTCCCTAACACATACTCACTAACAGTGTCACTTGTACACTTTCCCTAACACATACTCACTAACAGTGTCACTTGCACACTCTCCCTAACACACACACCCAGAGTCACTTGCACATTCTCACTAACACACACACACACACACACACACAGAGAGTCACTTGCACACTCTCCCTAACACACACACTGTCACTCAAACACAAACTTTACATAAGGTCACACTTTATTTACACACACAAACACACCAATTTAACACACTCCCCCATTTACAAACATGCACACAATAAGCAATCCCCCTTAACCATGCCATACCTGGGTGCTGTGCTGAGCAGAGGTCCAGGCTGCAGGATCCAGGATGTTGCTCTTTCTCCTGGGGGAGCAGGAGAGCCAGGCACTTTGAGCACAGCCTGCTTCCTGCTCCCTTCACAGTGCTTCCGGTGTTCACAGGCTCCCCCTGCCTGCAGGAAGCACAGGGAAACCTCTCGGTGGGCGCCCCCTAGAGGCCGGCGCCCTAGGCGAATGCCTTATTCGCCTTAATGGTAGCGCCGGCCCTGCCTGGCACCCCCTCCCCCCCCCCTCCACAGTGGGCGGCGACCCGGCGGCTCGGATCGGATTCGCACAGCCAGCACTGCAGAGAGAGTGAGTGAGCCAGGCAGGGGCAGAGAGCTGCGAGTGCGAGCGCGCCCCCCCAGATGTTGCGCCCAGTGCGGCCGGCCCCCCCTGCACCTCCCACGCTACGCCTCTGGTGAATATGTAATTTTATGTGAATGTGATGTATGGTTTTAAAGTTATGAAAGTTGGGTAGAAAGTATGTTTTAACTGTATGTGTAATTGAGTTTCCTCTCAGGATAAGGGGAGGGAATATGTGGGATGTAACTGATATGTGATTGGTTGTTTTATACCTCCCTGTGGGCGGTCCTGTATGTGAAAGACTGTAATAAAAACCAGGCTGGGTGTGCCAGCACAGGAGTTCCTGTTTTAACCCTCAAAGTGAAGTGTCGTCTCATTATTGGGGGAAGGATTTATTGTATGCTGTTCCAGTTTGACTGCTAGGAGAGTAAACCTATTTGTATGGTTCCTATTCAACTGTCTACAGCATTCATATGCTTGAGAGAAGGTATACGCTTCTCTGGTTCGGTGATTGTGGTGTCTGCCAGAGTGCTTGGAGTCCTCAGGAAGCGCTAGGAGCATCCTTCAATGGAGGTACCCAGTCGGGGTGCCTGGCGATCCGTTACAGTATGCAAACGTTTGAGCACAACTGTATATTGACAATTCTCCTAGTCTACCTTACTACTACAGTTTTTGTAATGGTTGTGGAACTTCATTTGTTCTAATTCTCTAGACTTGGAAATGTGTTTTGGTCCAAACTGCAATTCAACTGAATTTGGGTAAAATTCCCAAATCATGAACCAAATGAACTGTGCAGGGTTGAACATGTTTGTTTTGTGATTTTGAATTGCACCTGTGATGCCAAAAAGATATGATTGATGAGAACAAGGTGATTAATGGATAAGGGACAGTCATTAACTGTTGATTTTAATCACAGACCAACTAAGAAGTGAGTAATAGCAAGAAACAATGAGAAGTAGAAATATATTGTTACTGCTCCTCTTGTTTTTCTCGTTATTGGTTACTTTTTTTTCACTTGACCTGTGAACCAAACGGGAAAAGCCATCTAACAATATTATCTTGTTTATACTTGTCCTATTCCCTATATCATGTCCCTATGAAAATCAAATATTCTGAAATAGAGAATGGAATTCTCCTCACTCATCAATCTATCCAGACATATATATTCTTTACCTATGTGTTGTTGCAATCTATGCTGTAGATTATGAAGACTTTGTTCCCCTTAGGCATCTTAAATAATATAAAAACACTTTTGTTGAGCTATATTAGCTTGTGGAGTTTAAATACCTGGAATGTTTATTTGGCATCTGACATTAGGCCAATAAAAGGAACAACCCCTCAAGGCTCCTACGTAAGGTTCATTTGTAGGTGATAGGAAGAAAAGCATGTTTAAGCTGTTTCAGTAAACCCTTCCTCTTTCAGCTGCACCTGTTTAATGTTAGTTCATGTGTACTCAGTGGCCTCATGTGAAATATTTACGTTATATAATCCACATTAAAACTACTAGACATGACAACATAAATATTTTATAGTACAGTTCATGACAAGATAGAAGTGGAACATACCAATATTTTTTGTTTTAATTAATATTACATTTTGTGACAGTAGGGTATCAGTTGACAAGTATCTACCTGTTCATTAAGCTGTAGACAGACAAGAACTTTTAGAAATTACAACACTATTATAGTGTACAGGCTTCAAATACTTCTGAGACTAGTAATTACAAACTGAAAGTACATCAAGTATATAGTCTTCTCATAATCATAGGTTGGAAAAATGTAATGCAGTACACATCATGTCTATAAAATCAGATTACATTTTGTATTTAGTGTCTTTGAAGTATGTAAAGTTAATTAACTTTATTTAGTCAGTTTATTTAACTGATTACACATTTTCAATAGGACAATTAAAATATTGCACTAAAATGGAGGAAAATGTCAAGAACATAAATTTCTTCCACAATGCTTTACGCTAATGCCATTCTGTTCTGCATTATTCACTCAACTCCAAATTGTAGTGAATTGAAATCTAAATGGCAAAATGAAGGCTTAAATAGCCAACCTGTATCCGATTTGGAGAATTTTTCCATATCAGCTATTTATGATTAAGAATATTTGTTTGTAGGGCTTGTAATCTAAATAAAATTGTATTGGTTTGTTTGGTTTAATTGGTTCATCTTAAATTGACTTTGAGCTTATCTCCCGACTGGTAAATAGTATGAGAATCATTTATAAAACTGGCCAGTGTGATATGATTCTCAAACTATGTATAACATAGTACTGATTTTTAAAGCGGTCTCATTTGCCAACTAGGCCGAGTATACTGAGCACACCAAAAGTAAAACTGTGATCCTTCCTAATGTTGCCCATAGGACCCTGGCTATGTTTTCAAGTCTGGGTATGGGTCTCTGACATACCATTACTAATGAAAACATAAGTGACACCATAGTACAAGTATAGACAGTGTGATATACTGCATTCTATTCAATGCACAATATAACCAATTATAATGTTTACTTACAAAAAAATGTTTATATTTAATTTGCATACTTTTTAAACTATATTGTTAGTTTTCCTTAGTTTTTTGGCCAATTTGTCTAAAATTCTGAATCTTTTGAACTTTCTTCTACCTATATTTTGTATTCTATTAGAAAGTAATAAAGAATAAATAATTAAAAGGCATGTGCATGGGAAAAATTTTCGGCAATTCGGCACTTCGGCAATTCGGTACTTCGACAATTCGGAACTTCAGCAACTTCGGCACTTCTGAAATTCGGTAATTTCGGAACCTCTGCAATTCGGCACTTTGGAACTTCGGCAACTTCGGCAACTTCGACACTTCGGCAACTTCGGCACTTCGGGACTTCGACATTTCGGAACGTCTCTTGCAGCCGCTTGGTAGATAACTCCCTAATTCCCACGGCATTAGGGAGTTATCTACCAAAAGGCTGAAAGACCTAAATTGGTCTTTCAGACAAATTTACTAATACTTAGTATTAGTAAATTGTGCCCCTACTCGCTATACCGCGAGTAGGGGCATGTCTATTAAACAGTGAGCAGCCAATGGCTGCTCACTGTTAAAAAATGTTTTGCCCCCCCGGCCCCCACCCCTGAGCCGCAGGTGGGGGCCCTAAAGTAAAATAATGGGGGGGACCTATTGTCCTTCCCCCTGGCCCCCACCCCTGAGCGTTGGGTGGGGGCCCTAAATTATGAGGCGGGGACCTAATGTCCTCCCTCCTGGCCCCCACCCTGAGCGGTGGGAGGGGGCCCTAAAAACTAATTAGGGTGGGACCTAATGTCCTCCCCCCTGGCCCCCACCCCTGAGCGGTGGGTGGGGGCCCTAAAAACTAATTGGGGGGGACCTAATTTCCTCCCCCTTGGTGCCCACCCCTGAGCGGTGGGTGGGGGCCCTAAATTAGAATGAGGGGGGACCTTATGTCCTCCCCCCGACCCCCACACCTGAGTGGTGGGTGTGGACCCTAAATACTAATTGGGGGGGCCTAATGTCCTCCCCTCCGGCCCCCACCCCTGATCGGTGGGTGGGGGCCCTAAATTATGAGGGGGGACCTAATGTCCACCCCCTGGCCCCCAACCCT